AATGTGGCCATACACTGAGGTGAATATAATTATACTATTCTCAAGACAGCCATACATTTGTTGAATGAATTATTGGCAATCAGGAGGGGCCAAAAACAAAGTAGGATAGTTAAAAAATAAGAGTTACATCCAATCTGCAAATTCGCTGCTATACGAAGTTATTACGTTCTGAGAAAAAAACAAATTTATAAAAATATTTTTAAGGAGCGGATGCTGATCTGTGTGCAATCATTGAGTCATCACGCATAGATCAGACACTCTTTCAATAAGACTACGTCACAAATGTTTGATAAGGGGCCACGGTTTCGTGCTTAAATAAACAGTCTCGTGTCCGAAACTATCAGTCGACCTCGTCGTCTTCACGCAATCATGTCGTTTCAAGGAAATCAGGTACTGCTTACAATTTTGATATTTTACCCCTGCGGACCGCGTGAAGCAGGTGTTTCACTCGTGGCACGTGGAGCTTAGGACCGTTTCGTTTGAGTTTTTCTCTCATTTTTTCCGCCCTTGGCAAGATGTAGCGGATTTTTGCCCAAAAAATATCATGCCCATTACTATCCATTGAATTATGGGGAGATTACCAACTATATTGTTTATATATTTATATAAATTTATTTATTTATTTACTTAGTCTTTTCCACATAAATGCAAGGCGATAGTAGTCTATATCCTAGTAGATAGCATGGGATGGACAACAGATGACTAAAGTGATGTGAAGGGGGGGGCTCAGCTTATGTACCGCATATCACGAGCACGATCCAGGGATCAAATCCCGGTTAGTATATCACCCAACACAACAATCCTTCCATTTCTCAGTAATGGCTAGTTTCGGTACGTATCTCTGGAGATAACACCCAGGAGTTGTACGTGACTGGCTACTGTGAGACCATGGATAATGGCTAGATCGCATTCAAACTGCCACGATTCCTAATTGAGAAGTGCGAGTTGCGTGGCGACCTAAAAGGGAGCTGACCATCGCCGGATGGTGTTGCCACTTTTGCTCTTGTATTTTATGTGAATGCCAGATGTAATGTGATAACATATGGAACAAATGTTCCTTTGCGGCTGCGGGCTCAGTAGAGCGACTTAGGTCCTTTCGCGGGCTAAAACAATATAAAATAAAAACCGACAGCCTACCCGGGCGCGCGTGCACTGAGGGTTGGCGACGAAGAAGCAACAACGCCAGCTAATACTATGTGATAATATGCTCGCGATAAGTATAAAGGGTCCTTGGTTTACCTTACTTCCCTATCGAGATGTCTGCTATTTATTCCTATTCAAACAGATACATTTTCAATTGGCCAGTATGCGCGGATTACCAGGCATTATCCACCAGCAGCTCCTATTGAAGTCACCATGTCACGGGTCACACCAGTCATCGTTCGATGGATCACCGGTAAAGCAATTTTTACGCTGAAACAACTTACTTTCGAGTTGCACCTATTTGACTTGAGTCACGATCGGCGGAGCGGGATGCGAACGGCGGTTGATCCCTGCAGATCACTTCCGAGCGGGCTAACCGCTCGCAACCAGCGCGCGCGAACGCCTACACTATGCATCTGGTTCGAGATTTATTCCAACATATTCTGAGACGCCATTCTTATCACGATTATTCAATCCTTAGGAAATGGCACATGTTGAAATAGAATGAACCTATTGTCTTTTCCTACCCTAAATCATGACAGGAACAGCCCCCAATCATGCGTGCGGCCGCGTCGCGGCATATGTGATAGTATGACGCTGATCAATGATACACACTTTCAGGTAGTTGTCGTAGATCATCACCATCATGGTCATCATCACCATCACCATGGTTTGTTCCATCGTCTCTTTCATCCCCATCATCATCACGGTCATCACCATCATCATCACCATTGTTAAGGTGGATCGGAGGAAATCGATCGAAGGGATTCCGAAAATGGGAAGACAAGAATCGATTCCCGTAATAATTATGTGTCGAATAACATGTGATGTAAATACAGTGTACAATATTTCGTTACGATAAACAAAAACAGTTATCAATTGTGAGAGCATCAATTAGTACTGAGTGATGCGAAGAAGTTCAGCACCTAGATGTAATTGACACATCGACGACAGTGTGACGCGCTAACGCAACGCGGCTCACGACAGTGTGACGCGCTAAAGCACCGCGGCACAGCTCTGTACAGTGAGGCTTAAACAACTCGGAGATCTTAAGGTGGACTCTTGTTGGCTCACTGATGTCTGGAACTTTGGTCTTATCAGTTCTCTAACCCCCACCAGCAAGTTATGGACAAGGATCGTTCAAGCCTAGGCCCATACAAAAATCGTCGCACCATTTGCCGCGCGCGACGCTGCCCGCCGACCGTGGTTGAGGGCGGCGTGACCCCATTAGCCGACGATTGAATTGACCGTCTCCATGTTTCTCTTTCCTAAAATCAAAAGCGTGATACCGCAAGAGAGGTGGAATGCTGAGACGAAGGGGTGAGGGCCTTATTAAACACGGGTGATAGCGCAGTCAGGATGAAACCGTCGAGGAGTGGGCGTGGAAGTAGCGGGAAGCGCTAAATATTTATTAACAGGCGTGGTACTTAACTGGTGACTGAGCGCCTCACGCGAACTAAGTCTGGTCAATCTTTGTTGGTACCTCAGGTAAGACTGCTTAAACACCCTTCTTGAGACCTTGACCTAAGGTTGCTTTGGTACTGTAGGCAAACATACCAATTCGCTATTACACAGAAGATGGCTGACCCGTTTTTATGACCCCGAAATCGCTTCCCGAGGAAGTACAATGAAACTGTTGATGCCACAGCCACCGGCCTGAGCCCTGTTAGTGATCTTCTGATTGTATTATCACGATTTCGAATATTAGTCAAATAAGCGGTATCGATTACATATCGATTTTTGGGGGTACAATGCTGTGTGGTATGTTATCTCACAGGCTTCAAGTGTTATGGCGAACATGGACATAGCGTTTATACTTTATAACAAGACTGATGGCTTGAAAATAGGTTCTGAAAAAATCAATAAATCGATTATCTTTTGAGCGTGAGCAAGGCGATGGCAATACTGCAGGAGATCACATGTCCGAAAGGTGACTGCTAGATGAACAGCCATGCGAACTGTGTGGGTCGATCGCAGGAAGGTGGTGGTGTGCAGACGCCATCGTAAACACTGCGCTGACAGCAGTCCCTAAAATCAATACGATAGTTTTGGCAATCATATGTGATTGACATGGGATTGACCTACCTGAATGTTACGGTACGGTATCGTGACGGAACAGAGGGTCACCGCATAGGATTCTCGCAATCGTGTAAGGCGATCGTCAACTGATCGCTGTTCGTCTTGAAGAATCTCCCGCAACAACCTTAACGGATATTGGTCCTGGCAAGAAAAAAGGGTTACGGTAACGGAACGAACCTGGACGCCATGAGATTCCACTGGGGGATGCCGTATTGTCGAGCTTCATCGAAGCGTAGTTTGATTTCACGTTCTATAGATGACCTGAGCTCAATAAGAGCATCTTCCGACACCTAAATGACGTGTCTCAAAAGTCACGCATGGTGAGACCAAGGGAGAAAGCCGAACATGCCTGAGCGTAAGGAACAGATGACGACTGTATGGACTGGAAATCGTCCATTTCTTTGTCGAACAGCGGCTTCCAATCGCTGGACTTCTGAAATCATCAATTTTGCGGAGGCAATGGTAGAAATAGATATCGATTGATAGGATGATGACGGAATGACCGAGCATAACCGACCAGAGAAAGATCATTCAGACCTACAAGACAGGAAGATTGGGAGGATTCAGACATTGGACTTCAAACTTCGGATCGATACATATCTCACAATCGGGGGCTTTTTTTGCCATGGCAAAGTATGAGTATTGATTGGAAAGTCCACGCTGAGCGATGCCAATGGGCGTGGCCACTCGCACACACGCATCGATCAATACTGCATAAATGGAGAACAGTGCGAATAACGTCGAGGAATTTCTTACCATGCGAGAGTAGTGCCGAGAGTGAACGTACGCGCGGAGAGCACAGACGGCTCGCGCATGGCGAGTGTGAATGTCCGCGCGGGAGAGCGTAACTGATCAGGCGAAAATCCTCGACAAGCCGTTGAGGATCCTCGACCGATATTCACCCTGATGGAGAGCGAATTGAATTGTGGGCATGGGAGAATCAGCAAACTGTTGTATTATAATAATTGCCCTGATTTTGGGATGCGCCGTGCTCTTTTAATGTATTAAACCGCAGAAGCATTCAACAGCTCGTGGGTTTAGACTTTGTTTTGGGAGGCCACTGTGCAGTGTGAATTGGATGTATACCCACACTATGGTAATAGTTACCTCATCGTCTTGTAGTCAGTGAGGAATGTAGTAATCAATATCAATCGATAAACTGCTCACACTGAGATCAAACTGTAGTTGACTGGGATGTGCATTGGTCTGGATGTTCCCGTAGAGATTCCTCGGCGCAACAATAGTTCCCACGGATGTCAACGGACACATGGCATCCGATGATGAATAAACGGATCCTACAATGTAAAATATACATATTGATCGGGCCTATAATCTGAAGGAAAATTTACCGTCGCAAGGATTTACAAGATAAATGCCGTCTGACATATTCACTAACACATACGCAGCTCGTGCACCTTCGGGTAGTGCGAATCCTGAACAGCAATGATAAAGATGGCTATTGATCGATTCCTTAGCGAAACCAGTAATCTTACCGAGAACTAGGCAACAGGGTATTCCAAACGAAAGCAGCCAACAACAAAGTAGTGTCGCATGCTCTTCTTCATCACCACATCCGAGCGATAAGAACTAAAGTGATGATATTTACATGGGTGATAGAAAATAAACGAACCAGAAATCAATAAACAAACAAATAAAAAAATAGGTGGTCAAATGAGCGCAAGTGATTTTAGGATAAGCAGCAGTATACAAGCGAAAGTAGCAGACGGGCAGCTGTCGCTGTTAGGCCGATGTCAGACTTGGCGATTCGCTTTTCGCTCAGGCGTGCAGCGGTCGCCGTTGCGGCCCAGCAATTGAGTGATTCACGGGGGGCCGCGACGCGACCGCAGACGCTAGCGAATCGCGCGATTCGCAAAGCCTGACATCTGCCTTACGCTGCCCACGGTCCCGGGATCAAGTACCACATATGTCCAAGCCAAGATTTCCTAATTCTCGGCGTCTCTTGCTGGCATCAAGTGTGCCGAATTCTACTTGAGTTACCGGCGGCCATTTCCGCTATAGGCCAAATATTCAAGTGCTGCTATGATTCAGAATGGAAGTAGAATGCGTGGGTTGATGCCCATCAGTGCCGCTCTCTTCAACGGCTAACACTGCTAAAGGGCTAGAAGTCAGACGTCTACCCATGAGAGGGCGTGCCGCGGCGCGAGCGGTGCAGGTGAACGTGCTTTGTTAAGCCAGCGGGGCACTCTTGTGCTAACGCGCATCGTTCGCCGCACCATGAGAGGTCGGTCTTGCTTCCACGACCTTTCGCTTAATTCGGGATTCCGCCATGCATACGTACTGTCTGTTGAGAAAACAGCAAATCGCCACGCTAAACTACGACCTGTTTCCAGTTCGCACCAAAGCGAGCGCATAGCGTACGCCATTAGCTCAAAATTAAATATTGGCTGTTGCTTCATTGGTAACAATGAGACCAAAATAAAAAGAAAACAGAAAAGAAACAAGAAAGGAATGGGAGAGGAATGCTTGCGCTCGACAATACGCCACTGAAGCAAATCTCCACAAATTGACAAGGTGGGTGAATCAGTGCTGGGCTTCACCAATGGTTTATGGATTCTGCTGACGCTTAAATGAGCGTTCCACCCCACCAGAAAAGACGTCGGTATTGATGTGGTAGGAGATGAAGACTTTCACAAGCTAGGAAGGAATGTGATCCTGCGCAGCGCTGGATGGCCCTCGCCGTATTCATTGGGACATACCCCATAGAAAACTAATAAGGGTGAGAAAGGAAATGGACAGCGTTTACCTTTTCAGTGGTGGTCCAAAGATCTGTGGAACCAGGAAAGAGCACTGGATCAGTGACGAACGGAACCATGCTCACTAGGCGAGCAGCCACTTCGATCGTGTGCCTCGGATTCGCGCCCGGATGTGGCACCTGGGGCGGAGGATTAACAGGACCTAGAAACCTGAAAACAAAAAAGAAGAGTTAGCCAGCTCTAGGAGGAATCTGTACGAATTGCCAAAAAAAATTCTCCGAGAAATGGTTTAAAATTAGCTAACCAACTGTGCTAACTTAGTTGCTGTGGTATCTTAGTTGAGGGGGGGGGGGGGGGGGACGAGAGGACGAGATTGCGCGGCGTTTTATTCGTCTGCGCTCTCTTGGCGGGAATAGCAGTGCCATTGCATTTGGAGACTGCCACGTTGCGGCGAAACAGTAATGGTCTCTGTTAGTAGCCTTAGAGGCGCAGACGAACAGAGCGCCGCGCCACCGCGTGCTCCCGCCAACTAAGTTAGCATCAAATTATGATCAAAAAATCGCACAGTATTTTATTCTGATGAGTCTCAATTGATAAACAAAAATAAACAAACCTGCAAGCCAACACCGCTTTACCGTTGATATCAGTAACGAGCGCTGTGTATCGTCGACCATCATGCATTGCACTACACGTTTTTGACCACGTCTCACATTGATGAAGCACCTGAAGCGTTCCAAAAATCATGCACTGATCGATACTGACGCCAACAATTGAAATTCTTAAAAGGTTACCTTTTCGCTTTCTACGGAACCAACCCGTCGTGGAGCTGTAATTCGTGGCGGGACCATTGATGGATCGAACGCGATCAGCACCTTCACGTAGGATCGCCGATCAGGCATACTGAAATTTGAGCAGGTTATTTTTGAAAAATATGCAGCGTTTTTTCATCAAGGGTCCTGAGGCCGGGATCAGCCGCCCGTTTTTTAACTTAAACGAGAGTATTGTCAGTCGACACACACAGACATTTGTACCCTATGGACGCTATCGCAAAATACGGGGGCATCCTTCAGTATTAAGCCTAGGAGGAGCTGGAGCTCAGGGGAAAATGAAAATGGCTAACGCACCTTGGAGTCTCTCCACCCCCGCCTAAGGCTTAATCCACGTTTTCAACAAAAAAGACACGTTTTACGTGGTTTTAAATGCAGTGCCACCACAATGCCCCCGTATAATGCGATAGCGCCCGCTCTGTTTCCGGCCCCCAGGTGCGCGTCGAGTGCAGACCACACAGCACAAGTGACGACGACCTCCAAGAAAATCTGATAACTAGTGGTTCAGTTCTTGGCCGCCGGAGACAAAGGATATAGCGCATTACACAGGGACAGGGCGCAACAATTCAAATCAATGATTCCAGGGGAATATAACAACCATTTACAAGGGCGGAAGTGGTGTAGTGGCAAGTGGCACGCTTACCACGCGAGCGGTCCGGGGATCAAATCCTGGGTCGTGAGTCGCCCGGGCCAACCAAGCCTTCCATCCCTCCGGGGTCGGTTAATTGGTACCAGAC